GTTGGGCGTAAAGATGCTGTGCCGCTTTGCTGACCAGTTTACTGCGCATCAGCGCTGAATTACAACTGCTCACAGTGTTACACCTGGTTTTCGGTCTGCATATTAATCAACGCAAATCAGCGATGTGAAGCTCTTGATATTAGTGCACGGCACAGCCATTACCAGGGACCTCTCTTCGCCGCTACTCATTACGGTGCAAAATGGAAATGCTTAATGGACCGAAATATTCCAGTTCATCTGATAATTTTTTAATACATAGATATAATTTATATATCAAAAGTCAAAGTTAGAACCCCCTCCACATTTCGCCCTCAATGAAAGGCGGAAGCACTCGAGAAGTAGCCCAATTGATAGCAAATACCAATAACAACCACCTGTTGGCAAAGCCATCGATGGCTCCCTTCTCTGAAGGTTTCTTACAAGCAAGATGACGGCGGGCTTTTTCCGTTGGCATTTGCCAGTAGCAATTTAACACTGAAACGAATTGTAGGGTGATTGGTTGTCCAATCGGCAGAATCGTATCAATGCTACAACAATGCGCCGTACCCGCCGGCATTTTATTTATGTCATTGGTAATATCTTTACTGCGCCACCTCGGCTGCACGCGCCATCTCGGAGGTCGTCCGATTAGCCATTTCCAGTTCTTGTTTTTCCACTGCTAACTCACTGGTAGTAACTGACAGCAATTTGTGCCGGGGACATATCGGTGGCTCCGCACTGTCGAATTCCTCGTTCGTAATTGCATTTTTCGGGGGCAACCACTTTTGTGCGATTTTATACTGAGACAGGGCAGTGCGAGCAGTTCGAGGACCTCACCAATCCGCTTCAGATGCACTTTGAACATCAAAAAACGTACAACTCAGTGTTTCCGCGTGGCGCACTGGTGCACTGCACCCTCACCGTACAACAGCGGAAGCATTCAGCTCAGATGTGCCGTAAAAGGGACATAAGTAAAACAAGGGACTCATTTGATCAGCACTAGCAATCAAGAGGCTCTTCGGCCACCAGCACCGATGAGTGCATCGAAGCTCCCCTGAGGGCACAGACGAGAACCCGGTTTTTAGACAAGACGCCACCAAGCGCATCGCATTAGTACGCTGAGGCAACGTTAGCATAACATTTTGTCTTGTTACTGGAGCCGCTTCCACGATTCATATCGAAACCCCGAACACAGTAGAAATTGCTATCCTCCGGAACTGCGAAACTGGCCTTCCCCTATGTCATCAGTATCACGAGAATGAATCCAAAAAAGTTAATTTGTGTGGGCAGCAAAATCCAGCGGACGCGAAATCCTGACTTTCACAGGCATCCTAGACAAGCCTCAAAGTAACATATTTCCGACTAATTCTGGCGCCCTCAAGACCGTAGGCCACACCACAGGCCTCGTGTTCCAGCGTTACACAGAGGATGTGAAAACTGCGAAACAGCGCGCCGGTACTTTATACTAAAAAAGCGTTACACGGTCAAAACCAGATCACTGCAGCAAAAACATATTAGAATCTTATAAGAGAATGCTGCGACACACACACACCTGCGCGCTTCCACTGGCGCACCAATAACAATCAGAATTTCGAAAAGAAACAGAAATTACTACGGCAAAACAGTGGTACCTTCTTCGCCGCTGCCGCAAAGCCACTTGGATAGGCTGTCATCCTCGCAGGCACCACTGTGCACGACAATGGGAGGGACAAACGCTGCCAGTCAACTCATCCGATCGGTCCTCGGAAGTGGCCCGCAGTCAGCAAAGTGCAGTGCTCCGTTGCAAAAGTTGGCAGAAAAGCATGCTATTGTGCGCTTCCTCGTAAATACTCGAGCTTACAGGTCAGAAAACAGAAATCTTGCAAAATGCACAACTCGAGAAAACAGTCATCCCCTCTTCATTGGATTTCATCGATGAAGGCTTGCGTTACGATAATCTGAAGAACTCTGCAACTATGGAACCGGGTCCTTTTGCATTAAAAAAATTCACTCTTGACCGTAATTCACTCATTCAGGAAAAAAATTTGTGAAGAACTTCAACAACTATTCGGTGGTTTTGTTTGTCCCGCCCTCATCGAATATGCAGACTAACAAAAATCGTAAAGATCGGAAGACAACAACGAACATGTGGACGACAAAACTTCACCTTCTGCAATAATAATTCTACGAAACAAGAAAAAACTAAATTTTTTAATGTAGAAAGCAAAAACAAAATATCAATTCATTACTGAACACGACATTATAAAAATGAACGATCGGGAGGGCAAACCAGGAGGAGTACGAGAAATGTAGTGACATTTAAGTCATTTTCAACAAAAATGCTTTATTATTACTAGAAAGAAAAAAAGCACACTCATACAGATGATGGCATTAAGGTTGCCGAAATGATGTAGCCGGTGTGCGTTGGTTGCGTAGCAGGGCAAGGGAGTGCTGCAACGGTGTCACGTTCTCCGGAAGGTTTCGCATCGCCTGAATCAAGCTTCCGCTTCTTCGATGCCACATCACCAGCAGCCCCATGTTTCTTCCTCATTGCTGAAGCGCTGGGCGCGTCGAATGATTCAAGCGTGCTTGATGTGTTCGTACGACATACCTGCAAAAAATTGCACCTTTGAAATTCGAAAACAGCACCAGTGGGCATTCCGTTAACAAGCCATTGCTAAGCTGATGCGTCATAAATCAAATCTCCCAACTATTACGAACGTTCATGTTCCCTAGCCCGCACTATTATTCCCTTCTTTAATCTTTACTATTGCAGGATCTGATGCTGTAGATATATTGCTCGATAAAATTACCGATTCAAACTTTGTGCTAATAGCGAACATCCATTTACACTATATTTCCGTTTTTGCCTGTGTTTCTGCATATACAACGATTTTTTCGTCAAGCCGAACATAAAAAATTTGTATTCGCGTTGGTCTTTCCAGTACGCGGCGAAGATGATAGCATTTTTTGGCGAAACAATTCCATGAATAATTGATAAAATGTGAGTGTTATGAAATGCGTAAATTATAAAGTAGTTGTTGGTGAAGTGACAAAACTGAATCACATTATTCGCGGTCGACTAAACTACATCTTGTTGGG